TTCAGATGGTTTAGAGGATTTCTTTTAAGAGCCTAAGGGAACTCTGTGGTAGAGACATACCCTAAAAACTTGTCTGTGACTGTCTGGGCATCTATTTTCCCATAAAAAAATATCCCAGCAAGTTCTGTTCATTCATGTTACACCAGCTTTCACACCTCGTATTTGTGGTATGCAAAGACAAGCAACATTTTATTCTGAACACCAATGAAATGATGTGGGCTATAGCATACGGTGGATAGAACCAACCAGAAATGTTCTGACCAAACTGAAAAATTCTGTTACATCACAAGTAAAAATATAAGGAGAAATAGAATGGTTTTAGACACTTCTGACTAACCGCAAGATGCCTTCCTGAAACCACTCCAGCAGTTTTCCTTCTTCACTACCAGAGGAGCAGCAGCAGCAAATGGACTTGAAGAGTTCACAGCTGTGGGGAACTCCTGCCACAGAGACTGCCCGGGAGTCAGGGTTTCCTGATATTCCAGGTCTTTGCTCTGAAGCCACAGGAACCCCAGCCCTAGTGATGCAGCTGAGCGCCAGAACAAACTCTGCTTCTAATGGGACTCTCAGGACAGTCAGGCTTTCACCCAAAAAAAAGCCAGATGCGCAGAAACCCGGACTGCCAAACCTTGACATTCCTGCCCAAGTTCTCACTCCAAATTTCCAGATTCCTGGGTCTCAATCCATCCAGTCGACAGGGAAATGGGGAGATAGGACCATTAAGTTTCAGAAGCCACTAAAGTCTCCTATCTTGGACTCCCAAGCTCAATCTCATTTCAAAGCAATATAAAGTAACTTCCTAAGTACTCTAGAAAGATTTTTCTACTTTCCTTCCTGAGTGAAACATTATTCAAATTTTAAGGCTTTTTTTTTTTTTTTCCTCTCCAGAATTTAATCTGGAACTGGACCACTAACTTTTGAGTATACGCACTGAAGAATCTATGATGGAGTGTTTCTCACACTCTGGTTTCTACAGTACAATTTTCTATAATACAGCATGAACTCCACGAGAACATGAGTCAATAAGAAATAAAGTAGAAGAATCACACATAGCACTGTTTAGGGAGTACACTTTAAATAACAAGTGTGCCATTATAACAGACTCACTGAAAAGTGTAATGTTGATGAGACACGGAGAGTTACCACCCTCCTTCCACCTGACAGTGGACTGGTCCTGAAAAAAAGGACTCTTTTTTTTCTCTCTTAAAATAAATGTCAAGGTAAAACGGCATTTCAGAAGTTCAACTCAAATCCCAGCTACAAGAAAAGCAAAGCTATTCTCCAATAGCTGAAGTCCACCTGTTTTACCCAGTGATATGTCCCCAGTAGAAGGGTGACCTTCCTGAACTTAAATACCCTAATTTCTCAGGTGCAAACCAAGGTGTGTTAGCTCATTTCCTAACCTGCTCCAATGCTGCTAAGTTCCACCTCATGGCATGCCAGGTATTTTCCACCCACGTGGAAGGACAGATTTAGGTCTTGCTATCACTGTTGAATTTACACAGCCCAGATGCAAAGACGAGACGGCTACGTAAGATTCTTCTGTGAAACATAGCAGTACATAACAGAGTGCTGCCAGACAACATGTTGGCAGTTCAGGTATAATCTGATGCTTCCATAATCTCAGTAGATCCATCAGACCTAATCCTCACAACGCCCTGAGATCCCTTTGCCCAGCTCCTGTTTCCATCAGTTAACTCATATGATAACTGCACTTCCCCAAACCGACATTAGAACCGCTGCCGTATTTCCTTTTCTGATCAAAATACTCAGGAACTCACTAACTTTAAATCTTAAAACAGGTTTCTTGGTGCATCTAAATTCCCTTGCAAAATATTTATGAAGGTTTAAATTCAAACGCCAAGCTACAGAAATTAAAAAGAAAACAAGTTGTAAGTTTAATTGCATGCGTAGTCTTCACCTTACGCTCTTTGAAGGGTATTCTGGCATGTTTAACTCACATAACACACATCCCATGATGTGTAATGATACAGGCAGTAATAAACTTAACAAAGATCGAGGTATCAGTAAGCACAGTCTGCTTATCTCCTGGGCAAACCCAGCTACATTCAAAAGCTGTAGCAGTAACAGCTTCCTTTTAATCTGCTAACCCTTGCACACATAACTGCATTGTAATTGAAAGATCCTCACTGCCATCCTACATACTCTGAACTAATGACAATTTATTCATCCCTGCTTTGGGCATTATCATATTTAATCATTTGCAATAATGAACTTCACATGACAGAACCCAGGTTGCATTAGAAGACTGATGTGTTTATTAACCATATTTCCTATGTATACGTTTCTACTTCCTAAGTATTCCCTTATCTCTGTTTATAAGAGGTTGAAAGTCACCTGAAGTTGACACTCTGAAATGTCATATATTAATACTGACCTTAACTTTGCATTATTAAAAAGGTTTATAAATAAATTCCTGTATCAACCAGCTTGAAAAACATACTTTGTTAAAGAAGCCATCGTGTACTCTTTCAAAGTGTGGAAAAGAACATAAGATTAAATTGCACACACAAAAAAAAAATCAACAAGATCAGCAATTTCTATACAGGGGTTTTAAAAAACATTCAACCCTCTGCAAGTCTTGCTTATACATCCTTCTATCCCTCTATTGCTACAGAGCTTAGAGTTTCAAACATTTCACATTATACAAGGTCAATAGTACATTCCACAGAATTTCTGGGAAATGTCTTCAGCATGGATCCGTGCAAAATTTCTGTGTAGAACCTGACCTTCACAGACTGTCAGCTCTTTCTTAGTTTGGCAGCTTCCCGTCTCGGGAAATCATTCTCTATTTAATTAATACAGCTCAAATTCACCTTCTCTGAGAACTGGTACAGGTATACATAGAAACGGATATTTGTGCAGGCAGAAGTTGAAGGAGGAAGAAAGGTTATTTACTAATAGCTGTACTACTTTGATCGTATAGATTTATATTCCTCACTTCCTCTCTCCTCCAGAGAGACAGGAACTGCGCAGACCAGGCTGCAAAAGAAATTTTCACTGAACATTTGTTTTTTCAAGAGGGTCTCTGCCCCACAGCCACTTCTTTCCATCGAGTTCCAGTTTCCCATTCCAATAAGTGAGAAGCAGCTCAAAAGTCTGCCAATCTGCTTGAAAACCACGAGCACCTGACCGCCCACAGAAAGGGACAGATAAGCCTTCAGCTGTGTACTTCCATCTCTACAGCTCCACCTGCGTGACCCTCCGTGGTGAGACTGCCTGGGAGTAAAAGCAACTCCGTTCTGAGACGGTTATTCTGGTATCATACACTAGAATCAACTTTATTTCAGAATAGCCTACGTAACAATCCAGAGAAACAAGCACGACGCAGCTGTTGTAGTACAGCTGTATCGCTTCTGCTAGGTGGTTGCTCATGGAACCAGTTCCCATACTGCCACTAACACACCAAAGAAGAAAGCTATTCCTAGCGCTGGTGGATGCCACACCGACTCCACCCATCAGCTGCACCAGAGCCCTCGTGCACTCTTCTTATCCCTCATGCTGCTCAGGCCTCGGCCAGGAACGTTTTCAGTCAAAGAGAGTCAGGTGGCCGTGAGCTAAGGGACAGCCAGCCTTCAAGGAACTCACTTAAAAGGAGAAGCAGCAGTTTGTATGACTACACGATTTATGGGAGGTACTCCTCGTCTGCGTCAAATTCCATTGTGGACCGCATTAGCCTAAGAGCTCAAAAGTAAATCTGAAGAGACTCATTTTCCTCGCTTTTCCTTCAGAAACATTACCTCAAACAAGGTCCTCCATGCAACCCTTCTTCCCCCCGGACGGGCTCCTCGGGTGCGAGGCACTCTCCCTCCTGGTCAGAGCACACCACGGAGCTCCGGGAAGCAGCCCCTCGGGCGCTGTTTGCCCACCTGCCTTCCTCCCTCCTCGGCTGCACCTGCACCGCAGCTCAGAGGGCGGCGGTTCCCACAGGAAGACGCCCACACCTCCTCTTGGCGCCGCGGGACTCCGGGCCGCCTCCCCTCCGGGCACCCCGGCGTCTCCCTAGGCAGGGCGCTCCGCGGGCTCCCCGTTTCCCCTCGTCCCTTCCCCGAATACCGAGCTCTGCCCGCGCCCGGCTGACCCCTCGCCCCATTTCCCCACACCGCTGGCGGCCGCAGCTACAGGCCGGCCGCTGCGATTCACGGCTCGATGCTACTGCGAACTCATTTCAGACTCTCCCCGCGGCCGTCGAAGCTCGGCCGTCTGTGCGGGCCTCGGCCACGCGCATCCAGAACGTTCCCTGAACTCTGGGAACCGGCCGAAGCCGGCGCTCGCCCTCCGTCCGTTTCCCCGTCGGGGCTGCGGCACCCACCTACGGCGCTCGCCTTCCACCGGGGAACCGCGGGGCTCCGCCGCTTCCCGACGAGCCGGGGCCACGTGCCCGGGGTACGGCCGGCCGGCCTGCGCGGCCCCGAGGGTGAAAGCGGAGCGGCGACCCGGAGCCGCCGGGCGACCGTTACAGGGCGGGACGCCGCCACGCGCCCCCGCGGCTCGCGCCGGGCGCGGCCCCGCGCCGCTCGCACGAGGACCGGGGGCGAGGCCGGGCGCGAGGCCGGGCGCGGCGCCGCTTCCCGCCGAGCCCCCGCGGCGGCGCGGGAGGCGCGCGCGGCCGGTGCCGCCGGGTGACGTGCAGGGCGCGCGGTGGCAGCACCTCCCCGCGCGCGGCTTAAAAAGAAGAAGAAAAGAGGGAGCGAAACATGAGAGCCCTAGTGAGCCGCAGCCGCCGCCGGCAGCGGAGGGGGCATCGCCCGGCCCGGCCGCCGCCGCCGCCGTCCCAGCGCGGGGACACCCTTCCTATGGGACGACAAGTGGAGGGCTGCCGCCGCCGCCCGCTGCCCGGCCCGCCCCGAGCCTCGGCGCCTCGGCGCGGCAGCGGCCGCTGCTGAACCTGTGCCGCTCGCGGGGCCGCCGAGCATCCTCCACCCGCTCGCCTCCGCCTGTCCTCTCGGAGCGGCGCTCCCCGCGGGCCGCCCGCTCCGCTCCCCGTTCCGCAGCCTGTGCGGGAGGGAGGGAGGGAGGTGTTTTCCCGAAGTGCAAAGAAAAGTCCGTGGGATTCCCCTCCTCCCCCCCTTCGGGCGCGTTCGCACGCTCCCTCAGGCATGATGCTCAAGATGCTGCCGTTCAAGCTG